GAGCGGAGCTTCGCCTTACAGTAGGAGGGGCGTGCGCCGAGTGGGGCGGAGCCGGCAACAAAAGTTTCGCTTTCGATTCTACAGAACCCCGAAAATCAAAATTGGGTGAAGGCGTGCACTGAGTTAATCAGACCAAATAGGGAGACTTGCCCGCGGCAGACAGACCGTTCTCTGAATAGGCGGTTCTCAATAAAAAAAATCCATAGCTCGCTTAGAAGAGAATCAACACAGCAGGAAAATACAGGCTTAGAATAGCATTATCTAAGGTGTTCTCAGCACACCTGCACTGAGCGGAAGCTCGCACACAGTAGGCGGAGCGTGTCCTTAAGTGGGTATGTTCATTGCAAATCTTCATAATTCGGCGCCGAGATAATTTACAAGGGAAGGATGTCAAGTCGAAGTGGCCATTTGTAAGGTCAGGCTCAATCCATGTCGACTAACATGCATATAAGGGCAATACGCACTGGCCACATAGCACCAACCAAACTGGACTTGTGGTGCAAAGGTTCACTCACCTCACCTGTATCACCTGTCGTCCCGTTGATCATCGAATTGCTCGAGCGGGCGCCAGCAACGTCTCCATTCGTCCCTGTCGCGTGCAAGAGTTGTCCAGTGGACCTCTCTCGCTCGAGGGACACGAAGTCCTTCATTCCTTTCGTTCAGAGCTTTCGTGAAGAAGTCTGACCATCGGGCCGGCGGTCGTCCAGGTGTTCGTTTGACGTCCCGAGGGATCCAGTCGGTAACCGCTCTGGTCCAACGGTCATCGCAAAATCGCATGACGTGTCCGGCCCACCTTATCTTCGATTCCTTGGCGAAAACGGCAGCGTCCCTGATCTTCGATCGTTGGCGTAGTTCGGCACTCCGGATTCCCCTCTGCACTTGCGTGTATAGGGTTACTCCTAGCATCGTCCTCTCGACAGCGCGTTGGATAACGCTGACCGCATGCTCGTCCTGCCTGCGCAGAGTCCAAGTCTCTGAGGCGTAGGTTAGGGCAGGAAGGACAGCGGAATCTTATACGCTCCCCAAGCCGCTCGTTTCCTCCTGCTCAGCTCTGGAGCTAGATCGTTCATCATATTGATTTCCCGACCTAGGTACACGTAGCTGGAGCATTCGGTGATGTTCGTTCCGTTGAGCGTGAATGGGGCATCAGGAACCAATCCGTTTCTCATAAACATCGTCTTCGTTAGGTTTCAGGAAAGGGTTCACATAAGAACAGCAATCTCAGAAATTGAGCAACTTTTCTGTTGTGTAATGCATGTCCCTAACTCTTACTCAGCAATGGCTCCTTGAATCAAACGGGCCTGAGATAAATAAAAAAATAAACACAACCATCCCAGAAAATTGCAGAATCATACCTGTATATAGTCTACATTCTCAACTAATGCGTACAAATGGGCTGGAGTGAACATTCCGCTCAATTTGCTAAAATGGCATAATCTGCGACTATTTCAAATGCAGATGAAAAGGGACCTACTTCGTAGGACCCAGAGGTGGTCCAACAGGAGTGATTAATTGAAGCTGTTTTTCGTGAAAAGATTTTCCCCATGAGGACAGCATTTCGACAAGTAAGCTAGAAAACTAGTTGATTCAAAATTAACATGAAAGGAGCCACATAATCAAATGTGAACATACTGAGATGATTATCATGCGCATACACGCTTATCAACTTGTTGAGTTAACGCGATTTTACCATCCTACTCTTTGTGTCCGGCGGTCATGTCGGACACAAAAAGAGGTAGAATGATGAAATGATGTAACTGACAGCATAGGAAAGTCATATGAGGGCAACGGACCTCCACAAAAGGTAGTGGCGGCGCCGTCGCACTCATGTGAACGGGAACCTTCTGCTTGAGATCGGTCATTAACGGCGCGCTTGGAAAGTAAAGTGAGCGCCTGCAAACGCTGATCCCATTTCTATGTAAAACTTGTAAAATGACTTATCGGATCCGTGTGCGCTCGTCTAAAAGTGCGTTTATCATACAAAGTCATTGAGTATAATAGTCATTCAGTTCTCTCCAAACATGTTTTGGTGCAATGTGGCTCCCCGGGGGGGGGGGGGGCTAACAATGCCTCAGATTCTCAAACACTCAGTTCCAAGACTAAGCCTTAAAGAAAAAGAGGGAATCCGAGGTGCGTAAGAAATCCTCACTCTCTCAGGAAATCGCCCCCCCCGGCCCCCCCCCCGGAGGCACATTGCGCCCATATTTTTAACCTGTCTTTCTATGTCAAAACCGACTTATTCGGGATCATTCCAACTTACTCGCTCGCACCACCTCTTGACTGGATCATGGCGCTTGCCCACAATTCAACTACTGCGCCATCAAATTGAGTTCGCTGAAAAGGACATGTTCTAAGCTGGGCCAGTGAATTAAAACAAGGGATTTGCCATCTCACCGTGAGCAGATTCATCAGATCTCCGAGACAGCGATTCATCCAGCGCTCATTTTGAAGGAATGTAACAATATCTTCATCGGACCAGTCGTCAAATAGAACACGTGGTACTATCGCAAGATCACTGTTGTTACGACGGAGCTCTTCCATCCAGTCTAGATACAGAATTTGTTTCGATCCCTCCTCAGCGCGATGACAGCTAACAAATATCACAAAGGTAAGAGAACAGGCAAAACGCCACACTGCTCCCATTTCTGGAGACTATAGTAGTCGCTGCATACTCAACATTCAACATTAAGGACTTGCCAGCGCATGCAGGCTTTCATGCAGAGCCTGCGTAATGCCATGACGTATTGCGCGCTAAACTAAGTTCTCAAAAAAGCGCAAATCCCCACTGACCACTTAAAATGGAACATGTGTACTGTACATTCGAAATTCATACCATGGTCGATGTCATGAGTACCAAGAATCAGACAACTGAGACTCATGTCGGCAGTTTGCGGCTTCAGCTGAAAATATTGTTTTTTGATGATTTGCATGCAATCTTATCCTAATATTGAGTGAAATGGCCTCAAATTCGAGTGGCTTGTGCAAATAATTTGTACTTCTTCCATGTTCAAGATTTGGTGTTCCGGTGTGCGATTGCATTGACAAGGAAGCCGTTCAAGGCAAACCACGCATTTTCAAGACGGTTTTTTGTGTAGGGACATGCGCATCGTAAACAAAACCATGTCTCATTTTTGCTTGAAAGGTCTTATCAAGGAAAAAACCTTAAGGAAGTTATCTGAGCTCGATTCCCTATAACGACAAAGTTTTGAATGTCATGCTAGAGCATTCAGATTGGCGCCGAATAGTGCCAACACAGAGAACGCCGTTTACATCATCGGGGACCACAAATAAACACGCCAATGGTGCTTTTTTACGGATAACTAGTATGGGCAAAATGTGTTGTCCAACTTATTCCCTGCTGACGCAAAATTACACCATATAGCATCGGCACCAAAAACGAATATCATTTTTGTGCTCAGAGGACCTTTACAGCCGAGGTGGCAAAATATCTTCAGCAAACTTCGAAGCGTTGAATCATGAGTAAGGTTAGCACTCCGCCGTTTCCGACGGCAGACCACATGAAGGCGAAGTTCTTGTCATTCTTCTCAAGAAACTCCGCCCAAAAGGGCATTAGCAGCAGTCGAGAGGTCACGTACGATGGGGGATCTCCTAAGTTGTAATGGACTTCTATCTGGACATCCTGTCGATAATGATGTCAGTTTCGCGTGATGCCCTTCTGGAAGAAACTTTGGCCTTTATGTGAATCACCGAGAATAATGCTAATTTTTCAAGGAGAGCCTATTCTCAAGTCGTCCGAAGATACTGACTTCGAGATTTGGAAGAGTTTCCTCTCAATTTTCGAAGTGGTCAAGATCCCATTTTTTGCGCAACTCTAGTTTGGTCGGTTGATAACAGATAAGGCATACATTTTTGGCGCCCGCAGTGGATCATTTTGAAACCACAGGTTTTCCCCTCCACTTTTCGGTGGAACCTCACCTTCTTGGGTGTTTAATGGCCCTGATCACAAATATGACGCCTTCTGAAGCTCGCGTCATTTGGCGATCATGAGGTGTCAGCCAAAAACGCAAAAGCTCACGCCGTGAAGGCTCGAATAAGCAACTTCTCCACTGTGAAACGAGAGCCCAACAGATATATACTGAATCACCGGATTGCTGCAATGAGGTAGGGCTGTCATTGCTTATGTATCACAACTAAGGTCAACCGTCCGCTGCATGGTTTCCAATGGGAGATCGTGTTTGCAATTTTTGTGTGGTCGTGGTAATTGGGGTCGATTATCGATAAAGATCAAAAGGCTGAAAAAAGGGAAGGTCGTACTTGTGAAAGTTGAAGAAATCCTGTTCGGAAAGTCAATTTTGATTCTGAAAAAGTTCACGAAAGAATGGTGAAATGAATTGAGTTGAAGGAATTGCCTTTTCTTAAGCTTTCCCCCCCCCCGTCCGCTCTACTATTTTGCAGGAGAAAGTGGGCAGTCGAATCGTGTCGACTATCCTCAGAACCAAAGGCTATGGAAAAGCCATGATGCGAAGGCGATGGTTGAGGTGAAGGAGGTCTATTGAGATCCTTCCCTGGGCATGAGGGTAGTCAAATTACTGGAATTAGAACAAAGGACAGTTAACTCTGATCCCAACATTCTTCACTACAGCTGGGCTATCTAGGTAAAGCGCTTCACTTCTGATCTAACTTCGCAGTGTTTTCAATGTGCAGCTCACGAAAACTTTCTCTCATGGTCAGTTAATGCTATGCATGATATATCCCTCATTGAGGCTGTGAAAGCTCATTTCAATAAAAATGTTTGCTCCTTTTTGGTATACCCAACCATTCACCGAAAACGAACTCCGGATTTGTGTTCCACGTGTTTCCCTCAGAGTAGGCAAAAACTGTTCGAAGAAGAGAGCGTAGTTTGCCCTGAACAATCCTCCCCCTTATGAATTCAGGGCCAGTCGACGTTCAAATATTAGGTTGTCCCATAATTAGTGAATCACTTTGGGTATTTTTGAATTCAAATTTTTTTCTTTTTTATGTGGAGTCTTTGCTCATCCAAACATACACCTCTGTCATCTACAATGTATTGCCTATACAAGGAAATTTAGTCGCTGTCTTATCTCTAGAATTCCAGGAGCTATTGATCGAAGAAAGATCGGAAGTCGAGTTTGAGGTCATGTCACTTAGCGTAAAATTTCTTCCTGGGGAAGAGCGCTAGAGGTCAGACTGAGTTGCCTCTTGTTGGCACGAGGATAGGGCCACACAGAGGAAGTGGAAGAACGGCTAGCCTGAGAGTCTCCAATTTTTTATGAATATTCTCCGCAAGGTGGGGTCGAACGACCTCAGGAAAAAAGCAGACTTTGTCTTGCTTTACTTTCAAATTGAATGCGTCGCCATTACGCTGTAGATGTTGATCTTCTTTAGAGACCCTAGTATTACTGGGCCTTGTACATGGGTTCTACCTTGTAGTGGTGTACGAGCTTGAGGCGGGATCGGAATATCCTTCAGGATAGGGCTGCGCCGAAACCCCATACCGATTCCCGTGACTAAAGAACCCAAAGTGCCCAAGCCCTTGGTGGGACGGCGCTCTCCTTGAGCAACGGGAACGCCCTGGTAAGGCTATCCCGTGGGACGAAAATACCACGACCACTTCTTATAACTGCCTTAGTCCCCTGCAGGCTGTCCCTGCCCAGTCCGGTAGCGCTGGATCAGCAAACAGCCGAAGGCGAAGAAATCTCAGGGCCGTAGGCTACCAAAGGAGACGGACAAGAGCGAGCCAACTGATTGCCTGTACCTACAACTGCCGTAGCATCAGTTCGGCCGCTCAGCTTTCTACACTTATCGATGAAGCTCGACGGATCAAATACCATATAATCGGCCTCAGTGAAACAAAGCGGAAGGAGCCCTTGTCCTGCACGTGGACCGATGGGACGTCAGTATTCCTAGGAGCCCGCAAGTCTAACTCAACATCAGGAGGCGTTGGCTTCATAGTGTCACCGGAGTTTTCCAAACATGTGCGAAGTGTAACGTTCCATAGTCATCGGCTCGCCGTGCTAACCGCTTCGCTCTCGAGGGACATACAGATAGGTGGCAGTCCTATGCGGCCTATACAGACCAGTGATGAAGAAGAACACGATGACTCTATGTAGCCAACTGGCAAAACTTTCTACGTCGTGATAATGGGCCGATCTTTCAACGCTCGTGTTGGATCAAGGAGAGCCGGGGAGGTCTTCATCGGTCCACATTCAGCCGAAGATCGTAACGAAGCTGGGCAGAGACTAGCGAATTTTTGCGAACTCCATCATTTCTATCACGGCAATAGTCAGTTCATCAAATCGCCGAAAAGAAGATGGACTCACGTAACCCCGAATGGGCAGCATTGTCATGAGTTGGATCACATCTTATGCAACCGTAGAATCATGACAGATGTTGCAGTGGTGCCTTCGTTCAACACGGGTAGCGATCACCGTCTACTCCGAGGACGATTCCATTTCGACCGCAGCCTAGTGCGCCTGATGCGCATACGCTCAAGACATTCCACACCTACCGTGCTAGACGTAGACGCTGTCTCAAGGCTTGCAAGCGAAGAACACTTTGAAATGGTTGGTGAAAGTCAATACCCTCGTGGTCAAAGCGGTAACAAGACTTGGAGAAAGCTGTCGCCGTACTGCTCCGAATCATAATGCTCGTCGTATCACTGCAGCTACTCGCGCTCTTCTCTAGAAACGCAGGCACATGGACAGACAAAGAAACCACTTGAGTACACGTTGTGTAGAAAACGGATTGCTGAAGACCACAACTTAGCCAACTTCAAGGGTCAATAGCAGCCTCCTAGACGCGTAGCTAGACGTTTCGAGGCGAAAACTATGCACGCCGTTGAGAGCCTGAAGAGAACCAGAAAAGGGATTGCCGAACACCGCTTGAGGATTCCGTGCCTCAAGGCTCCAGACGGATCCCGTTGCTCATCGATACAAGAAATGGAGCAAATTCTGGCAACATACTACACAGCCTGTTCAAGTCAGACATCCCCGTCATTCGAATGGATGCGCCGAGCACCACACACGATGCAGTTTGCACCTACCTCCACTATATCGAGGAAGTGCGCCATGCGGTTGTAAACGAGAATGCCCCAAAACAAGGCGCCTGGAAGAGACGGCATCACTATAGAACTTCTTCGAGCATGCGGTCTGCCTTTATATCGAGCCCTTGCTAAGAGGTTTACGCGTTATGTAGCTGAATGTGCTGTTCCAAGGGCGTGGAAGCAGTCATCGACAGTGTTACTGTTCAAGAAAGGCGATAAAGAAGACCTGGCAAACTATCGTCCCATCACTCTGCTGCCGGTATTCTACAAAGTGTTTACGCGTTGCATATTGGCGCGTATCCGACGAACATTGGAAGAGGCTCAGCCAGTAGAGCAGGCAGTATCCTGTTCGCTAACGCAAATGTTTTTCCGCACGCTCTGATCATTATTTATCGAAACCTGTCGACTGCCTTATCCGAATAGCATCCCGCAAGCAATCACACTGTTCGATCTGTGATGTCATTCAATCTCTGACCTGGGGCGAAAGGACCGTTTGAATTTCAGTGAACCACTAAGTATGGTAGGCGCTAGAACACACAAGGCGTCGAAAGGTCACGTTGATATGCTGCGGTTGAATAGCTACCACGGAATGTCAATCAACCAACTATCAAACTAGCGCAGCATCCTCCGCTCCCGATGTTCGGTCGTCATTCAACGCATTACCAGTGTTTCGCCCTTTCTACAATGACGTTGTTGTTGCAGTTGAGAAAGGCGTGCGACAAGGTGATCCAATATCACCTAACCTCTTCGCTGCCTGTCTGGAATCCGTGATACGCCGCTGCAACTGGAGCAGCCAAGGAATCAACGTCGACGGCATGCGTTTGAATCACCTCCGATTTGCCGATGACATCGTCTTGATTACGGATTCGCCAGAGCATGCATCTGAGATGCTAAATCTTCTGGACGAGGAAGGAAGTCATTGCGGTCTCGTCTCGTTATCAACACCTCCAAAACGAAGGTCATGCGGAATGCATTCTCAGCTAGCGCCCCTGTACTCTTAAAAGGAAGTCCAATCGAAGACGTTGAGGAGTACATATACCTTGGGAGCCAGCTGAACATGAAGAACGATCTTTCCGGAGAGCTAGCGAGACGTCGTAAGGCTGGATGGGCCGCCTTTAACTCAATAAGAAGTGTTGCAGAGATACCAAGGATCGGAAGCTCCGGGCCGACCTGTTCAATTCGTCAGTGCTACCTGCCCTCAGCTACGCTGGAGAAACCTGGGCCTTAACAAAATCGCTAGAAAAGAGGCTTCAATCCGCTCAGGCATCAATTGAACGTCGTCTGATAGGCCTAACGCTGAGCCGTCAACGAGAACTGAGCCTGCACAATTCTGACGTCAGAGCTATGTCGAAGATTAAGGACGTTTTGGTTCACGTCAATGAAGCGAAGCACCGATTTGCTGGGCATTTGATCAGAAGAAACGATGGACGTTGGAGCTCGAAGACTGCTCAATGGTATCCGCGCGAGAAGAAACGGCCACTTGGCCGCCCTCCTTTACGTTGGGCAGACTCTTTGGCATACAGAAACAACGTGTATGATCCTGTGTCCCTTAAGGTGGCCGTACACTGGACAACGAAAGCCCAAGACCGCGAGCAATGGAAAAGAAGTTGGGACCCGCGCAAGGCCAACCGCCGTGCTGATCAATGGGTCGTAAGTATCTAAGTATAGTATTATACTGCGGCGGTTCCCAGCGCATGGTCACTCTCGTGCTCCACCAATATCTCTGAAGGGTCGGACTAGAATGAGGTTTGGCTTTTGCTGTCAGAACTCCCGAATCGTTCACGCTAGGCTACTGCTCCTTGGAGATTTGCTAGTACACTTCACCCAGTCCAGAACCCTGGTGAATATGCTGGATGATCACTGTAAGGAACTAAGGGAGATCAGAAGGAACATGATGATGTCAGATCGTGTGCGGAGCTGTTTCGGGCTCAGAGCATACAAGATACAAATATATTTAAAATCTTTACAACTCTACGTAGATGTCTACATTCCATCATTTTAACAAGTCGGACATGCTCTAGCAAATGGCGACTAGTTTGTCCATATCCACGCTCAGTGGCGCTGGGTACAGCAATGAGATTGCCAGTTGAGGGGTAGCGATTTTCTATGTTGTTGGGCGTTTGAAGATCCTAATCAGAAGTGATTAAGAAGGGAGCTCAAAAATAGGTTCCAGAAAAATTGAAATATCAGCCACGGAAGGCAGCATGTAAATGGGCTGAGTAATTGCTCAGGTAGGATAATGTGGATGCTACTTCGCAAAACATGTTTCACGCCTTCACCATTTTTCTTGGATTTTTAATAACAATAAATGTAAAGTGATTCACTAATTATGGGACAACCTAATATACCAATTTTAATAATCAGTTCTGTGTATCTATCCCCTTCCCTTCTCTTGTATATTTATTTTGAGGGACTGTACGACAGGAGATAGGGTGCTGCAATTCTTCGTGCTGTTGTTAAAGAAATCGTACACGGAAAACTTGTTGTATTCCATCCGTCAGTTGTGATCACTAAAAGAAAGTATTTATAATACAAAGTTTCAGTCAAGAAAATTCAGTTTCCAACCAAATAGACCTACGAAAACCACGCCTTGGGAACGGTCGAGGTTGGTAGGGCGGAGGCAAGGGAATGCATGGAAAAAAGTGCGTCATTTGGCGGCCGCATATTGGGCGACGCATTTAAAAAAAATAGAATTCCGGCTTTTCGAGTTTACCAAAACGAACGACATTTTGTGTTCTTTTTGGTCTCATCGTGAATGATGGGTCTACAGCCAATGATTTATATGTGAGATAAAATCACGAGTTTTCCATGGACGATTCCTGTTAAGAAAATCTCACAACCTGTACTTATGCTGGAGCTTCCATACAACTGAAAAAAAAACTGACGCGCATGTTACTGGGGGGAGGGGGAGGGATATTCAAGTAAGTGAGCCACTTTCAGTACATAGCACTAAGTTTTAGGGAGGAGAAGGGTTCTGGGGGAGGATGTGAGCAATTCTTGCTTTCGCTTGTGTTTCTCCATCCCCTGGGCTTAGTGATAGTTTCACCTACCAGCGCTCCTTGAATATCCTATTTTGAATATCCCCGGTGAACTACTGTTTTCCTGAAAAGTTTCCAGATTTCACGACTGTTTATGTGCCATGTTTTATGAACTGCCCAGAAGATTTCGCAGACATCCCGTTGCTCACATATTTTCTCAAAATCTGAATGCCACCTCACTCCATTAAACCAACGCAACCAGACCGTGCCTTAGATTTGTTAACGGTTCGAACAAGGACAGTGAACAATTCATAGAGGCAGCGACACTATGGCTGGGAAGTGGAGATGAATAGGAACCGGTCCGCCTCTTACAAGGAAGGTCTTTCAGGACATGGAGCCCTTTTTGAAAACGGTTTTTTGCATGATAAAGGGGCACATGCATGGAGTACAAAACTAGGCTCCATTTTTTCTGAGCGGCCCTCTGAATGCCAAAAAAGGAGTGAAAAAAATTTCTTCAGAAATCGGAGTTTTCACACCTTCAACGTGGTTTATATCACTCGTTATGTTAAGTGGACGCACAATAGAAGGTTTTCTTCACCTGAACGTTGAAAACAGCGTGGAATAAAGCCAATACCAAAAATTGTATATAATAAGTGCTCAAAAGCACAAGGAAGTTTCATCAGAGTCGTTGACATTCATCGTACAGCGGTGGTCGGATGGTCGAGTGGATAGCGTGATGGACTCTGGTTGGCACGGTTTGTTCGAAGTTGTTGGTTCGGTTCCCCTCCATGCTCGGATTTTTGCATTTTTCCGATTATCACTTTTTTGCATTTGCATGTGCTTGCGCGTGAACTTAAAGCCTATAGGTGTCATTTCCAAGAACTTTCTCCCACAATTCTGCGATATTTCGTAGTACCATGTTTTTTCAGTTGTGTACGAAATTCCGTTTACAAGCAATAAATAACTAGCAGTTATGGTAAAACTCAATGAAGCATCTGAATCACAGGCGCGGATCACACCAACTGCATCTAACGAACGCCAGAAAAGTGAAGTTGTCATTTTCTTCGCAAGGAACACCTACTCCATTTCCCTTGAAGGCAGATTGCCGGCGTTGAGGAACGTCCAGGATGCTCGTCGACGTAGCCAGTGCCCACCCAGGCATACGCCATGCATCGACGAGATCAAGGGGTGATGCCAGATTGCCCCATGGGCAGGAACTGCGGTGGAAGTGTAACTATCAACCAAACGTGCCGCTTGCTATCATCTCGAAGCTGTCTCCAAGTGGGAAGCGTGCATGCCGTACTGACTATGGGCTAACCCATGGCCCAATTTTTGAATTCGGGCCGAAATCTTGATCTTCTCTAAAACTGCGGCTATAAGGGTAATTATAGGCGCTGATTACGAATCTGACGTCCATTTTTGATGGAGGCGCGATATTGCGCCATTTTAGCCTCCTCGGGCACCAACTCGGCGCCGCTTTAGCGCCATACAATTTTCGCCCCAATTCTGGGCAGAAAGCTAATCAGAAAGGTTGATGATGACCCTGATTGTAAGAACAGTACCTATTTTTATCGGCGGTAACATTTGGAGTCATTTAACATGCGCTAACATGAAATGCAAAATTTTGTCATCAGCCGGGACCGATCCCTCGACCGATTTTTCATACCTTTTTTGGCATTAGGAGGGCCGCTCAGAAAAAATGGAGCCTAGTTTTGTACTCCATGCATGTGCCCCTTTATCATGCAAAAAACCGTTTTCAAAAAGGGCTCCATGTCCTGAAAGACCTTCCTGGTTAGTGCGGTAGAGAGTAGCATGAGGGTACCTCATAGTCCCTTCACCCCAGCTTACTTCCACATATCAACCATCATGCTTACTTATCATCACTACTCATACAGACAGTGGCGCCAGCTGCTTTCCAGTCAACAGTGCGTAGTATCGCTTCCATTTGAACTTTTGTTATTCGACATTTTTTTCAGATGAGGGAAACAACCCACCTGGAGCCAGACAGGAGATACATGCGTGACTTTCTGCGAAACCCATTTGGCCAAGTCATAGCCCTTGTTATTCCACTGAATAATGAGTTTGTTGGGAAGAAATTACATAAAGGAAAAAAGAACTGACCGGTGTCACATAGACGAGAACTGGATTTGCAAATTTGCGCGGCGAGAAATCTACAGTTTCATGGTCCTTTAAAATTGACTGTTTTGACACGCTTGACGGTGGATGCGACAAGGGCATTGCAGTGGTCTAGGAAGAAAAGTTTTTACAAACATAGTGAATTCCCTCTATCTGCAACAAAGGTAGACTAAGAGAGGAGAGAAAGTTAAAAACCAAAAGTATTGCTGAGTTTAGCGACCATATTATAAGGAAGAGAAAATGGAAAAGGAAGCCACAAAAGAGCTGTAACAGGAACAGAATGGGGGCGATCGAAAGTGAGCACGAATCAAAAGAATTGAGTTTCTCAATGGGACCATACCTCCTCTTCCTCTTTTTTAGGCTCGACTTTCGCTTCCTCAACGATCTTTTTTCCCTTAAACCAAGAAAACATAGGAATATAACATGCTCAAGTAATAAATAATGATGATTCAAAGCAATCCAAACACCTCTAACAACCTGTTTCGTTGACCGATCCGATTTTCCTTTTTGTTCGGAGAACGTAAGCAGCAGTAAGAATACGCTAACTCGCAACCACAACATCTGGACAGCATTACATGCTATTTCTAAAAGATGCAATCCTGCAGGAAAAGATAGAAGACAGACGAACTGCTCCTTCGACAGAAGTTTATCTGATAAGATTTATTTTCAATGAACAGAGTAACAAGGGACTCGGATAACAATAACAAGTTTTACTGAGTTGATGTAATAAGATCGTTCCGAAGCATAAACAGAGAGGCACAGAATATCTAAGGGGTCAACAAACTAAAGTCAATAACACTTATCGAGATCATTTTCCTTTACGAGCGAATTTGTCATATCGAAGCCACCATTGGTCCCAATCGTTGTTGAAGTCACGCTTGAACACAGGGAACGACACTAGCGGATCTGGGTGGATATCTTGGAGGCGAATTCCGGCACGTTCCACCTGCATTAAAGAAATAAGTACATGGCCGAAATTAAAATTGAAGCACTATAAAAGTTTATCGCACTTGATTCAAATGTGGTTGCATTCCTGGGTAAAATGCACAACGGTACCTAAACCTTAATCACTGCAAAAAAAATATTCGTAGAATTCTACAGAAGCTGGCCGCTACAATGGGCATCACCTCGTTTGAGCTCAGTGGCTTCACACTACGTGTTTCAAAGGCACACCCCACAAACTAAACGCACGAAGCAGACAGCCAGTAACGGTAAAAAGAAAGACAAATCAGTCAACACTTGGAATGAGCATCTTCTCTTTTCCCGACAGTCAAGTATTTGACCAAGCAGAGAGACACCACAGCACTAGGAGACACTGAGCGCTAAATCTGCTGGAGTGAGTTCTCGGCAAAGATTTTTTGCAAGTAAAGGCTTTTTAGCGCTTTCGCTTTGGAACTTTCGAACAGCGAAGGTATCACACCTACTACCTTCGTGGACAGACTTATCTTCCCGCCGAACCAACTGGTCCAACTGAGTTCGCGGAGTGTGCCTTTAATGGGCAACAACGTGGGCTGCGGTTCCTTCGACTGCGTCTTTGCAACCGAGTACTACCCTAGCTACTGAAAGAGAGGGATAGGGCGGGTCAGACTTTGCAATCCAGCGAATCCCTAGCGAGTAGCGGGATATGAGGGATGTACAGCGGTTTGAATGATGCATCAGCAGTTCAGAAGAGGTACCGGCGGTCCGAGCAATGTATTAGCTGTTTTGATGTACCAGCACCTCCCCCGGCTGTGGGAGACTGACGAGAATTTCTCGCATGCGACACTGACTCTGGCTACTTTCCTCACCGTCAAGTCGCTGGGCATGTTCGAACCTAGCGCATTGCTCGTTCCCCGCGTTCTGCTGGATCCACAAATCTGATACCAGCTATGAAAGAAAACGCAGTTTCCCACTCAACGATTGTCCACCTTATTTTCATGAGTCGTGGCCACCGCTGAAGTTATAGACCTACCGCTTGCAAACTACGTCAAAGTTGAGTAGCACAAAAAGTCTAGAACTCGTAGAAAATGTGACATACTTGTAAAAAAATTACAAAAAAAAACATAAATATAAATTCACTCACATGAGGCATTGGAGGTGTTGTCCAGTCCTTGTACCATTCCCGAAAGTCGAAATTTCGGAAGTCGATACCGAACGTGATTGTTCCTAATTATACCATGAGATAATGTAATGACACAAAATACATAGAATACAGATAGCCAACAGAACGAACCGTGTTCTTTAGCAGCTAGCAACTGAGCTCTGAGCATAGCATATTGTTCTCGACACAGGCCACTTTTTAAAATCGCAATAGGCTGGTGAGTACCATCAGAAAGAAACTGCTCGATCAAAGCAGGATTCCGATAGTCGAAGAACAAATACTCATCACGGCAGACCTGCAATGAGTTATGGTTGATCGGAAGCCTGCACACATACGAGTCATTGAGAAGACATAGGCCCACTGATTTGCACTGAACGTCATCAAAAAAGATGATAGCGAATATTGACCACCCCAGTCCAACTGATATGGAGCTAAAATGACCAATGGTCCAAGAAAACTAGCCACAAGTGATTTTGCATCTCTGTCGCACGGTGTGAGCTCGGCTCCCTGACCATAATGGCAGATGACCTAACTTAGGAAACAAGGGCCAACAACTCTTCAAAAGCGAACTAAAGAAATGAACAAAAAAAAACTGACCGGGCACGCATTATTTACATTGAATCGCCCATACTTATCGATGCAGAAAAGTCGAGGAGGTGGTTGCAACGTCGACTGACCCTAAAGCAAAATAAATTTATCAATAGGATTTGTACTACCATTTGAGGAGAGAACCGTTCAGTGGTGATCAACACTAAAAGGAGACTTCGATGAGCTAAGTTTAAATAACCGTTACTTTTTAACGCGCAACGTTATACAAGCAGATTATTGTAGCTAATTAGTAAGTGAAAACCAATTTCCCAGCAGAGAAAGCCGCTGTGTAGCGAGAAATCGATTCTAACAGTTCCATAAATTCCATCGAAAGCAAGCAGCGATCCACGGCAGTAATGGTGTTTGGTCTCGTTTATTCAAATTCGGAGCTGAAACGGTTGAGCCTGCTTATCAAATGGAAATCTCACTGGGAAAGGATTTTGTGACCAAAACGTCCAGCTGATGATTACTTTTAGCACACCTTGCTCTTGGTGCGATAAATACAAAACCAATGTGGGGCGAATCCCGCTGTACCTTTCCTAAAAGGGTGAGGTTCGTCAACAGTGCTAAGTGGCGTCAACCTCGCCGCCTGCAGTAGAAGGATGGCAGATTAATGGGAAGTTCTAAGATGAGCTGTGAATACTTAAAGTCTTCTCGAACGCTGATCAAATCTGTAATCCATACTGCTGATCAAATCTCACATCTCAAATCTAAATGAAAGTCACAGAGGTTTTTGTGCTAAGAAGCAGGCTGAAGCTCTCATGAGAAGCATGGTAGGTCGAAGTGAGCGCTTGGGAAATGCATACCGCCCGATGCGCCTTCGGACGCCGATTTCAATTCTGCGGTGTGAGGTACAGGGTGAGGGAGGAGGAGAGGAAGAGTGAACTCCGTTGCTAGGGAAGGACTAGAAGGGGTAAAAAGGATAAAGCATTTGCCGTTGATCAATCCCTTTTTGGGATGCGGCACGCATTCTACTTCCATTTGTACATTCGTAGTGGCGTTTGAATGCGATGTGGCCTATACAATGACTTGCGGGGGCCAGCCGATGTACAAGTCAGTGTTTTTATCCTCCCAGACAAGTCTGGTACCAATTAACCGACCCCGGAGGGATGGAAGGCTTGGTTGGCCCGGGCGACTCACGACCCAGGATTTGATCCCCGGACCGCTCGCGTGGTAAGCGTGCCACTTGTCCACTACACCACTTCCGCCCTACTAGAAGGGTAGTGTCTGACAAAGCTTTCGACCAGCTAACAAAGAGAACATGTCAACAGTTGTTACTGCACTTTAGGCTATTTATTCACACTTTTTTGGTTCGAGTTTGCTTTGGTCCAGTGTTGTTGACTGTTCGTAAGCCTAACCCTTTCCGGACCGCGCGCCATTGCCGTGGCGGGCGCGTGTGGCCGGCGCCTTTTTATGCTCACCGCCGCGTGCTGCGCGGCGAGCATAAATATCATATATTTAACCTGTATTTCCATCAAAACCATTATTTTGTCTCGTTTTGTATTTGTCATGTCTAAAAGTATATATGTGGTGAATATGACAGAAAACCGTCGTGTAATAAAAGTGATAGGGCCATAAAAAGGGAGGCAGGAATGAAAATTGTTCAAAATAAGTTGTAATGGGAAAAAGGGACCAGAAAGTGTCCAAAACGTTTGGATTCAATAGCATCAGATACGACGTGCACGTGATGTCATAAATTCTTTGTATGAAGTGTTTTCAAATGAATTATAACTGTTTTCTTTGAGCTCAAAGTGGAAGTCCATTTAGTTTTTGGTTATTTTAGGAACTAGTTTGAGATTGAAGTCTAGGTTTTTTCATACGTACGACATGAGTATGTTACATAGATATGTAACAACATAAAACATTTTGTCGAAAAACCGAATCCTCGCTCTTGAAGTCCCTGACACCCCATGGGTGTCAGGCGGCCACAGGGAGCAAATTGGGCCTGACACCCCATGGGTGTCAGGCGGTCCGGAAAGGGTTAAGCGGAATTTGCAGTGGCATTCCCCTCACTTACTCCAACGGACTGCCTATATTACTCTGCTTTGTCAAATTCAGCACACGACAGGTCCTTTCTATAACGGCAGCACACACACACGTCAGCAACAGTATGTCCTCACTTACCAAGGGAAGAGGGGGTTGGTTTCAGGGTGCCCAAGCATTTTCAAAACTGCTTCCCGCAAGATATAGGGGCACATGCAGGTACCATTAAATCATGTTTCATTTTTCCGAGCGGTGTCCTGAATGATAAAAGAAAGTGGGTGAAGTAGACCGTGGTTCGATTCCGATTGGCAACAACTTTTTGCATTTTGAGCTGGCGTTCGAAATTTGTGCAAGACCGCGTCAGAGTGAACAACGGACACCACATCGAGATAAGCCGTTTAGACACAGCGAGCACCCGAAGTAAGGCGTGAATTACGACGTTCCTGCCGTAGTCACGCATCGACGCGATTTCCGCAATGACAATCCTATAGGTTATGCTCACAATGAGGCTACCCCCCTGGGCAGCAATCCAAGAATGGATGAGCGTCGCAGCGTTCAGCCTCTGGGGAGGTTATCCCCGGGTGCCGCGCTAGACTAGGCGCGAGGCCACTCTGGCGTGCGTGCCATCCTCCACCTCCTACATGAACGGCGCTCAGTATAGTTGGCGGGTTGGCTCGACATATTCTCTCTCCGTTGAGAGAGCGCAGAGAAAACGAATAGTGGGAGGCGAGCACACGCTTCAACGCGTCAATGCGTCGCGCATTGTACGTGACTACAGCAGAACATTATAATTCACGCTTTACTTCGGGTGCTCGCTGTGTCTAAACGGCTTAGGTCTACCACATCTATCATTAGAACCTTCAGTAATTTTTATTGCCATACTAAAACGGCGCCGAGTGACGTCAAGTGGGGTTTACGTCAGAAACGGGTAATATATTCATGACCAGGATGCTGAATAACAACTACATACAAAATGTTAGAGGAAATTGAGATTTCGATCTAACTTCGACCTGTTGGACCATGGGTAGATGGTAGATCAGTAGTCCACCACGCTCAACGGAACACTGTCTGGAGGCGGTCCCTCCTCATCGTAATCACTTAATGGGAAATCCTGTCCAGCGATTGACCATGGTAGACATCTAAGCTTGTGACGGCCGAGAGGTCACGCACAACGATGTGTCGCTAGGTTCTCCTCCTCGTCAAACAGTAGCAGGTTGAGTTCTTGCCCCTGTCACCGGCTAGGCCCACCGCCGATAGCTAGATCGGCTTTAGCACATTGCAGCCCACGTGCATCGCCGGGTATGCACGTCGAAACTCCCACATCTGACATTTGTGCATCGCCGGGTATGCACATCGATTTTAAGCTCTCCTTAATCTTTTTTATTACTTTTGTGACTATAGAAGTTCCACTAGTGCCTTGAATCCACTAAACACATGGCTGCTCTCCATCTTCAATTTCAATAAACTTTTGGATTTCAACTTGCACAACCAGTGCCTCAGTTTGAACCCTCAAAGTGTTTAACAATAAATTTAAATGACTATCAATTACCACATACATTTCCTAATGGCATGCCGACCAAAAAACTAGCAATAAGCGAAAAAAAAAAACGAGGAAAAAGTAGAACAAAGAAAGGACAAAAGCAATACGTTGCCAGCCCAATGGGAGGTTGCAGTTGAGATTGTGTGGGTCCTGTGGCGAAATACATGGGTCTTGTAGCGAGATATATGGGTCCTGTAGAGAAATTCCACAAAATGTCCCGAATGTGAGATTTGTGCATCGCCGGGTATGCACGCAGGTAATGCTAACATGTGTGACATGCGCCGAAATCACTGCGGGCGTCAATGTGTTAAGAACGCAACGTAGTGTGAGACTTGCTCTGCAGGGGCAGAACCTCGGTTTCCTTATTAATCACTACGACGTACCCCTCGTTCTCCCCAAGCTTGCCTCCAAACTATCGAAGAAACCTGACAGGTTGTGTTTGCTGGTCCAAATTTTTGAAGTTACGTAAAGACCTTGATTTTCCGAAAGTTTGAGCTTACGGATGAATCAATGCTCTGATCACATACATATGTCGCAATCGTTTTCGTGCCACAAAATTTCTCCTCTAATTACCGAAGAACACTGATCTTAATAGGGTTATTTTGGACCTTAATCATATGGCGCTCATTGGAGACAGTGCCGTTCACTAGTCATCATGATGCGCCAGGCAAGAATGCAAAATGACATGGTCATAGGGAGTCGAACCAAACACATCACCTGCATCAAGCCAACTACAGTCCATCGCAATATAACCCACTGGAGCACCATCAGGTAGCGTGCCGACACGGCTCAAAAAATCATAGCTTTTACAAAGCTCGGCCAAAAACATCACGTTGTCCGAAGTTCGCGTTATCCTTCTTAATTTAGAAGTCGCTAACTTGGTGTGCCGGTTTGTATGTATGTATCGTACCTCGCGCTGGAAATATGACCAGAAATTGTGCAATTGCAGAAATTGACGTGGCATTAACGTGGCATCGATTCAAGAACATCTTTGAGCACACGTGATGTCACCTTTTCATCGAGAATTTAGCCACGTGTGCCAATGCCACGTCAATTTCTGCAATTGCACAATTTCTGGTCATTTGAAGGCGAGGTATGTGTCCGTCCGCAAAATGAAGTGAGTGATAAGGAAGCTCATGGAATAAACAAACCGCTAACAAATCGGGTAGCTTACAGGATTTGAGATATCAATGTTTTGTAGCAGGATAGTGTGATAACACTCTCAGGGCTATATAAACACCTGCTTAGCACACTTCCGTTCATTCCACATGGTGCTGCAGTGGCAGCTGGAGGGCAGTGGAGAGAGGAAGGGAGGATGAGGAAGGGAAGCGAAAATCTACCGTCATATCATGATTATGGCGATCCCTCTACTATATGAACACCTTTTGTTGCATACGCGTCACCTCCACGAGGTGTTGGTGTCACAGGTGGAAGGAACCACAGCGGAAGACGTAAGTTTACGCAGGAAAGGAAGGTCCCGGCGGTTGACGGGGACCAATCAGGTTTCCGATGAACGGTTAAGGAGAACCTTTTGATATGACAGTAGCCAACGCTGTGGACAATACACGCTATAATGAGGCAGAAACGGCAGCTTCGAGGCCTCTTTTCGGTATTCAAGGAGCTGCTCAGGAGAAATTAACCTTGGTTCTATGGTTCACGTATCCGCCTCTTTACCATGCAAAAATCCGTTTTGGAAAAGCTTGGCACGCACTGAACCTTCCTCGGCTAGGACACAAATTTCAAATTTGTCATATCTGCTCAGCGACGCTGCGAAAGATTAAGAACTTTTTTCTCCACATGTGGTG